ATATATATATATATATATATATATATATATATATATATATACTGTTGTTTATTAGTTTAATTAACAAGATTTTTTAATTTTATTATTTAAGAAAGATCCTGAATTCAAAGTCTAAAAAATAAAAACACTATTCTTTTAAATAAAAAATACATTATAAAAAATAGAAAAGAAATCTTACAAGAAATTTAACCTTTGGATTCATATGCTTACGTGTCTTGATTTGAATTAATTAGAGTTCAATGTGACTTTGAAAAATTAATCAATTTTATTAAATTAATAGATTAATCATTTTTATTAAATTAATAGATCTATTTGAAGTGATAGATAAATATATTAATAATAATAATAATAATAATAATAATAATAATAATAATAATAATCTCACACTCTATATAAAAGAATATTGTATATTCAAGCTCAAACTTTATCTACCTATGTTAGTATAACATTTATCTAATGAAAATTAAATTACTAGTTTAGATAATTGCATACTAGTTGTATAATACACACTAAACAATTTATTAATATAGAAAATTTAAACATTAAATATCATTAGCATAATGCATTATATTATTAGTTCATACTTTCAATCTTTCCATTGGCAATTTAATTTTCGTTTAGTGAATTTTCTTTATTTTTTATTTATAAGTTATATTAATAAAGTTAATCTTAACGAAGTATTTTATTTATTAACATAAAAAAATACTTTTATGAAAAATATACTTGAGAGAACAATACTTTTCCCTCGCTAATTTGCGAAGGATTTGCGAGGGATTTGCAAGGGATATGCTTATAACTCATTAGCGAGGGATTTGCGACAAGAAAAACCCTCGCTAGATGAAAATTTTATTTTTTTATTTTGGGTCATAATTTGGAGAGGGATTTGCTAGGCATTTGCGAGGGCTTCAGTTCCTCGCTAAATAAACACTAACTTTAGCGAAGGATTTGCGAGGAGATAAAGGTTGGTCGCAAAATGTTCCTATTTAGCGAGGGAATTTAGCGAGGGATATAAATCCAAGCTATTTCCTCGCTAATCCGCAAAATTCTTGTAGTGTTTGCGAGGGATTAGCGAAAAAAAATTTCCTTCCCTAATTTGCGAAGGATTTGCGAGGAATTTGCGAGGGCTATACTTATAACTCATTAGCGAGGGATTTGCGACAAGAAAACTCCCTCGCTAGATGAAAAATTTATTTTTTTTTTTGGCTCATAATTTGGAGAGGGATTTGCATGGCATTTGCGAGGGACTAAGTTTCTAGCTAAAGAAGCACTAACTTTAGCGAAGGATTTGCGATGAGATAAAGGTTGGTCTCAAAATAGCGAGAGAATTTAGCGAGGGATATAAATCCAAGCTATTTGCTCGCTAATTAGCGAGGGATTAGAGAGGAATTGTGCTCCTCGCCAATCCCTCGCTAATTAGCGAGCAAATAGCTTGGATTTATATCCCTCGCTAAATTCCCTCGCTAATCCGCAAATTTCTTGTAGTGTTAAGACCGAGCTCGTTGGGGGAAGTGGCTTTTCACATGTGTCGCGGCCGTTCATTCCCCAGGAACGCGCAAGTGACATGCCACGGGAAATGACGGTTATGCAATGATGAATTTGCAATTAATTATGCTGTCAGGCGTGCCCTTGAGTTGACACATGGCGCGGCCGTTTTGAATTGTTGGGAGAAGACTTTCTTTTCTCTCACTCGCGCCTCTTTGCCTTCTTCATTTTACTCTTCTTTCAACTTCCTGCGTACGCCGCTTCTCTTGTTTTCGTCCACCCTCCGTCTCCGTTTTCTCCGTTTCAGTCACCGTTTTCGGTAACCCCTTCGTTGTTAGGGTTATTTTCTGAAGAGGAGTACCAGGTACTTCCTTTTTGCTGTCTTCTTTTCTTTTCTTCCCGATTTTTCTTGTCTTTTCAATGGCTGGGGGAAGTGGTGTCGGCCCTTCTGCGCCTTCTCGGGGCAAGGCGCGTGGCAAGGCGGTGGCTACCGGGAAGGCCAC